CGATTATTGTCGCTGACCTCCATCTTCGCACGCAAATGTATAATAAAATCGGGCGAGGGAGTTTTTCTTGAAATATCCATTCGAGAAAGCCCAAGTACCTGTTCAAAGAAATCAAGTACCATTCAGGAAAAATGTGTACTTGTTTGGAAATTTTTTATAAAACACAGAGGATTTAAATACTCATCCTAAGAAACACGAGTAAATGTTCAAAGAATTAAGTATCGTTTAGAAAAATTAAAGTGCATATTTGGCCAAATGGATGCTTGTGATTTATATTTTTGCAAATACACTAAAGGTACATAATGTCTTATAGACCATGGGCAAAAATCTTTGCTTTATTCGCCGGCCAAAGTGTCTCACAACACTAACCAGTAAGTCATATAGGTAGTTGAGCGGAATGTCATTCTACTCGTTGCCCTCTAACAAGAGTAGACCCCACGAGTGTTAAAATTTTTTGTGATTTTGGAATTTCAAATAACTAAAAATTTGGGATATTCAAACTTGTTGAACCAACTCAAAATTATAAATTATTTGAACTAGCAAAAATTAATTCAAATTTGAGTTTTCAAAACTAAGACGCCTAGGGTTTAAAATTAATTCAAATTTATGGTTTTGAATTTAGGCTCTTAGAGCTTAATAATAATTTGGATTTGGACTTCTAAATATAGGCTCTTAGGACAAGAAAATAATTTGAATTTAGACTTTTAAAATTCAAATTTAGGCTCTTATGGTTGAAAAATAATTCACACATGAGGCTTTTGAAATTTGAATAATTCGCCATAGAATTTGCAATATAACCTACTAGTGAACAGAAGATCATTCCTTTTAAAGCCCAAAAATGAAATTGTGTAATCCAAAATCACAATATTCTTGCAAACACTCCAAGTTCTAAATGAATGCAAGGTATACAAATTTCAAAACTATTTCTCAATATTTTTGAATATGTGCGAGTGCTTTTAAGACTTATATGAATAATGAAGTTGAATACTCTCAAAATATAAATATTTTAAAATGTTTATAGAAATGAATCAACTATAAAATTTTTCAAAATCTTACATGTGGCTCTTGATATGAATTTCTTATCAAATTCTTAGTTCAAAGATTGTGCAAATCTTTAGAGCTTATAAAATCTTGTAAGCTATTCAATATGAAATTTAAGACTCGCATGTGCTCCACCAAATTGAGTAGTGTTTAAATTTCAAGGGTCTAAAAATGTTTCGCAGGTTCAAATGAAAGATTCACTCAATCGCTCTAATAAGTGTGGAAGGTTCTTTTGAAGAATCTATAAGTATTTTAAAATTAAAGAAAAAATAAAACCCAAGATAATTAACTATGCACAAATTCAAATTAGTTGCATTGTCTACAAGGCAAGGTCAACTGGTTTGATACTCCTTGTAAGGACTGAAATCGAGTCTGGTAATTTTTATAATGTCCAAATAAAATTTACAAGTCCAAATCACCTAATTCGGTCATTCTCTTTATTAAAACTAGAATCAACAAGACCAATATGTTAAAGATATTAGACTTACAAATTCAAATGAACTTTAAACAAATGTTTCAAACGCCCAAATTTTCCCCTAATGACCGAGTTGATAAGGTTTCAACTGGATAGGTCATTTTTAAATCAACTTTTCAAAGTAACTAACTAAAATACTCTACTTAAAATTAATCATGTGAAATAACTTAAAATAAATCAAATCCACGTAACAGTTTCTCAGGGATGAAACTTTTGAATGACTTCAACTCAAAAAAAGTGAATGTCACATTTAGTGCATTGTTATATTCAAAGTAATTTCATGCCAGTAATAATTTTGATCGAGTCCTTTGCCCGAATGATTTGGCACAAAGACTACACAAAAAGTAACAACCATAAATAGAGACTTCTGATCAAGTGGTTGATATCAAATGACATCATTATATTACGATCACAGTCGTGGTGCGTATGTTCCCCAATAGTTTTCTACTCTTTTGAGTTTTGAACCATAAGTGTATAATTGATTGACACAAGGTCATCTATTAGCAAAGATCGATTTACATTTCTCTATTAGACAAACATTCACCCCAGATCTACAAGGGTCCCTTGAATGATGCAACTCATGGTTGCTGACAAGAATCATTCGATCAAGTTAAATCGACTACCTCCTTTGACTAAGTAGACTAGGAACAACAATCTAAAATGACAGAACCATGAAATCTTGAACAGGTTCGTCATTGTTTCCTCCAACTACTTTAAGTTCAAGGTGATAAATTTTATAATCTAAATTATATTTATTGCTACTTTATGTTAAATATTCAACTCTAAATGATTAGCCTTAATTGAAAGTGCTCTTTTGTTATCGGGAAGCGTAAGTAACCATATAAATTTGTGCCTATGAAAAACCTCAAACCACCCCGAATCAAAATGTCCTCACAAAATTAGGATAAGTGTCTTATTTACAATCCTCTTTGCGTTCACAAAATTGGCCCTACAAAACTATCAACATCACTGACATCTGAAAATTTGGCCCTAGAAAGCTTTCGACAACACCAACAAGAGTGCAGACCATTGAAATTTTCGAGCACACAGACCTCCACATCATTAAGAATATTTTTTTTCCGACAGAGATCTTAAGGAGAAAGTATACATGAAATTTATCCTAGAATAAAATAATCAAAGAAAATACCAATAACATATCCGAAGAATTTAAAAAATCAATTAATCATATCTCTTTGTGCCTGATTTGGCAAATTGTTCAGTATGCAGAAAAATGAGAGTATGCTCCACATTTGAGTTCATCACAATCTTCATAAAATGCTCACCTTAAAAAAAAATGATTTTGTTCCTTCAATGGATACTTGTTAGTATTATAGGCCCTTATATTAACAATCATACTAAAGACTAAATGGAAGTTGTTAATAACATTTTAGAGTATCTTAAATGAAACCAGAAAAAAAAAATTAATATAAATATCCATCCAAGAAAATCTGAATTCTCATAGACGTTGATTGGGGTGGGATGCATGATATTGAAGATCAACATCTGGTAATTATACTTGTGTAAAAAGAAACTTGATTGTATGTAAAAGAAAAAAATTTGCTATCTCAAGAAGTTGTGCCAAAATAGAATATAGGGCATGGTCACTTGGTATGTATGAACAAATAGGCTAAACAATTGGTAAAAGAACTTTCAAGGGAAAAAAATCTCTAAAAGTGTATTGTAGTAATCAATCTGACAAGTATTGCAAAAAATCCTATTATCATAATACGACTAAAAATATTGAGATGCACAAACATTTAACCTCAAAAGATGTTTTTTAGATTCACTGGTCCAACAAAATTATATTCAAAGAAACTCTCAAACTATCAATATTCAAAGAAACTCTCAAGTATTGTTAAAATAATTGAAAAAGATGTATGATCAACATATATTATCCAACTTGAGTCAGAATGTTGAAATAATTCTGAAAGCATGGCCAACACCCTCCATGTATAGCACAAAGGTAATCCGCACAAAACTTTTCATATACAATCAGCTAACAAATTCATTGGCAGTAAATTTACATATATAGCAACCTGACACTACGAAGGAAACATCATTCCGTTTCTGTAGTCAGTTCTTGATATTCAAGATATATATATTTTCTTGATAGTCAGTTCTTTAACACAACCTCTCATCTTATTTTTTAAGAAATAATAAAAAAATACAATTCAATACTACAATTGTAACAACCCAAATTCTCATCCATTGAGATATGATCCGCTTTGGCCTAATGACCTCACGATTTTATCCTTTGGTGTAACTTCCCAGGAGGTCACCCATCTTAACAGTACACCCAAGCGAGCACACTTAACTTTGTAGTTTTTGTCGAAACTCCAACTGTTACACCAAGGCACCTCAATTTTTAGGAGTTCGGTTTCACCCTGCTTGAGGGAATTTAGTATTTTACAATCTCCCCCACGTAAGTAACCACCACCTTTGTCAATGTTCTTACCCAAAATCATCCACCAAGCAAATAGGATTCTAGAGGTAGCACCCACCATGTTGCAGTTTATCCCATCATGGGTTCAAGAGGTGGCTCCCATGTCGCAACGCTTAGTTTTGAATGGCACTTGGTTCTCATCTTCTGGATGGTGCAATGCTCTAATACATTTTGTAATAGCTAGAACTCTTATCTATCGAGAAATTGTCTGTTTTGGCCTAATGGTCTCACAGTTTTATCTCATTGGTGTAACTTCCCAAGAGATCACCTATCCTAAGAGTGCTCTCAAGCGAGCACACTTAACTTTGCAGTTTCGTCGAAACTCTAGCAATTACACCGAAAACCACCTCAATTTTTAAAAGTCAGTTTCATTCTATTTAAGAAATTTCACAACGATCTCCCATTTTCTGCTCTCTTTTCTTCTCATTCTAAGTTTCAAAAGCTTCCAATGTAAGGGGTTCGCATCTTCGCATGGTTTAAAAGTAGATTATAGCTCTCATCTCAGGTACTTTACAGGTTGAGCATCAAAGAGTAAGATAACTTCTTTAGTTAGAAGTAATTCTCTGATTTCGATAAAAGTTTGATGTCCATATCATTAATTTGCCAAGTAAAGGCTTTAGCAGATCCCAGCATACAAGCATGCTGCTCATTTCTCTAAGGACAATAATTTTTATTAAAGTTATTGCCAAGTTCAGCAAGGCATAAACAGAATAAGGGGGCGTGCAAGCTTACCAATTCTCCTGATTGGCTCATTATCACCCTTAAATCGTCCACAATTATTTATTTCATCCAAATAACATTTGCACTAAGTTTAAAGGAACATAATTGTTGCGTGTTATTAAATGCCAGCTATATAAGCCATATTTTGTCAATTAAAGAGAAATAATTATTTCCTAGTACTTCTTAAATAAAAGGGACAAGAAGTTCACAAAAAGAAGTATGACTAATATACGATACAAACGGAAAAAAAAAACCCAGAAATATGAGTTAATAGCACTATCATTAGAAGGAGAATCACTGAGATATCAAACCTAACTTTACCTGCAGCTTGTGATATATTTGTGTCATAGCTTCCTTCAATCTTAAAACCTATATGAAATGAAAGAAAAAGAAAGACTAAGACAATTATGAGAAAGAGATATAGTTATAAGAAAATATAAGAACAACTGTTATGCGTTTCAAGCATCTATCAAGTATGGAATCTACTTTAAAATTTGTTAAGATAATCTCTAGTATACGAAGCAAGGATGCTTTAAGCAAGCTTATGCATGTAAAACTCTCATAAATAACTTGGACTTGTATTTAAGCTATGTATAAGATAATTCCTCATATTAAAAAGTTATTGTTTTATGCACTATCATTCAACATAAATACATATCAATTATACATTATGCAAAGTGCATGTTTGAGATAATGTAACATCTTATTATTATGTTTTATTTTCAAAACGGAGCATCTTTGTATTTATGAAATGCATAATGAAGTAAATTGTTGATTAATATACTCATGAAAATGATATAGGCATTTCAATGTTTTATGATAGAAGACATAATGCGCTTAAGAAATGTCATATCATGCAAAATATGTTGGCGATGCTTATGTCGTGACCTTCACATGTGGGGCAATAAGTTGAAGAGATTAGCTCCTATATAAAAAAAAAAAAAAGATCCTCAACTTTTCGATATTAGTTTGAAGGATTGTTACATAGTAATAATACTATGTTATACCTGAACAATATTAAACCTTCTGATGATAGTCAATGGGTTGGATGACAAACTTATGATATTATACAGTGTAGATTTGATGCAGTCTACAATCATATGAATGCCAGTGAACCTAAATATCCATGTATAATATGTTCCAAGGATATGACAAGCTATAAAGAGATAAGGAATATTATATATGATAATATATGATATGCAATCCTATAAAATAAACAAAAAGTATAAATATTGTAATGCAATTGATCAAGTTTATAACCACTAACACTTGACTAGCATAATGCATATTGGACACTTCACATGTCCATTATGAGTCCTTCGATACAATTACCATACTACTATGCTATGTTCTTAACCAATTTCATTTCCAAATGATTGTGTAATACACCAACTAGTTGATGAGTATACTTCTGATCATATTGCAAAGTTTAAGATTAGCATGTCATTTTACTTCCATTCCTTGAGTATTTGACTAATGTACAAGAATTATTTATCTTATTGAACTTTATAGCTCACCAAATTATTATTCTGACAGTGGTTATAAAATGAGAAAAGTAAGATAGAGTATTGGTGAGGGTCATGTTTTGGATTAATATTATATGTATTAATGCTTACTATTTATATAAAATATGGATTTTATTAAGGAGCGTATACAAGAAAAACTTAATGTCATGCACATCAACTCTAATATTTATTGAAAGCTATGTAGTTCCTTGAATTAAAAATTTTGAGATGCTTCCATGAAGCTGATTTGTTCCCTTTCTGGTTCTAAGTTTGGATTGTGTTGCATGTTTCAGTTCAAGTAGTTCAAGGGTCTTATTCATATAACATAGGTGTTTGTTCACGGGTTGGACTACGAGTTTGTCCTCAAAGATCAAATATAGATTGAAATAAAAATAATCACGGGCTCAAACCAATCTTAAATTAAAATGATTAATACTAGCTTGAACCAAGATTGGATTGAGCCATCTTATAGCAAAGCTTGACATAGCTCAAGATTAAATCAAATGACTTTGACATCTTGAAAGGTTCGGAACAATTCAAGGTCAAATCATTTGCAACCTTAGCTACATAACAAGACAAAAAATAAATCAAATAACAAAATCACAGGCAATTGAAAATCAACCCGGCATCCTCAATAAATGCTAATCAAATTAAAAGTATATTTTGTGACCTATGCAAAGGATTTTCAATATATTTTGTTTAATACCATACAGTCAATCATTTAATGCGCTACTCATGTCAAATCACATAGGAAATGAAGATCAAAACTCAAATACTCATATAAATCCTATTTGTCATACTGCCACAATGCATAATTTATTCAATATAGTAATTCCGAAATAATTCATAAACAGAACAATGGGTATGTCAAAGATTTTTAAAAACAGATAATAAGTGTATCATTGTTTTGCAAATTTGAAGGAAAGCTCAAAACAAAACCTCAAAATGTTTCAAGGAAATTCAAGCAATGGTATTTGAGTTATAATAGCAAGCAGTTTATTTTTCCAATGAATGAAATGAAATAATTAATGTAAAACAAAGCTACCAAGTATTTAACTGTTTTTAAATGGCATAGCACAAACAACAAGCCATGTCGATAATCAAACGGTACCTTATTATACAGGTATCCGGTTGTAATAGGATATGATGACCAGAAATGGCGCAGTAGTTCCTGAATAGAAGTCCAATGCTGACAAAATAAAGTTAGAGTTAGCATCATCTTCATAGAGCATGTGAAGAAAGAGAAGAAGCGTGCATACTCCAAGAAAATTTGAGAACCAAACTACTACGGTAACAAGAAAATTTGTTGGCAGGTTAATTGTGACATTTATACGCAAAAAGGGAGCTGGGGAATATCATTCAGTATAGCTTAAAAGTTAAAAAAAGCTTGAAACATAAATTAACTACAGAGTAATACTACAGGAAGCATTGAAGATGTCATGCATCTGAAATTGCAAAGAAAGTTTAATAATGGATGGCAGCTACTACAATAACCAAAAAATTATCTGAGACACTAGAGTGTGACACCACATGTTCACAAAAGAAATGCTCCAGTTACCAATTTCATAAGAAAATATTTCAAACCACCCAAAAAATCATATGTAAAGATGTGTAACTTACAATCATGAGCTCATCTTTTGTCCTTCTAGGAAGCTGGTCAAGGACGCTCTCGAGGGAGCCCTTTCCAATGTGATGCTTGATACTTGAAAGATGTTGATTCAATCCATTAAAGACCTAGCTTATACCAGTGAGGTAGTTAGGGTTTCCTGCTCCAGGCAATTATAATTATTGATGAATATACAAAACATACAAAAGCAATGCCACATAAAACTCAGATAAGGAGATGACAATTTAAAAACACAAAGAACATTAAGTCCATTTTATTAAGGATAAATTGTCCAAATTCATTCCTCTTTGAAATAGACAAACCGAGAGCATCTGGAAATCAATTGAATGTGAGTGCATTATCATTATGATCAAAGAGGGTAAAAACCTTGAGTTGTTGATGTTACCTAATGTAAATGAAAATTGATGGTTATTCGTTGGAATGAATAAATTATTTACCAATCAATTTAACTATAATATTATTGTGTAGAGAGTACTTGTGATCGCGATGGAATGGCAGAAGAGACAATAACATGAAACTGAAGGATTGCGAAGGAGGAGACCAAAAGCTTCAGAAAGGGAGCAATGAAAGGAAGAATACCAAGAAACAAGCCTCATGAACTCGGCTCACAAAGCATTGAAGTAATCCATGCAGACAACTTATGCATGCTATTCACAAAGAACAAAAAGGAAGCTAAATGCAGTTGAAATGTATATATTTGCATACTTTTACCAAAAATCACTAAGAACTAGCTTTTAAATCTATAGAGAAGTTCAGGAGCCATAAAGTCAGCAAAACCTTTCTCAAAAAATAAACAAAAAAAGCAAAAATAGATAGACTACAATGTTAAAAAACCAATGACACAACAAAGCAACATGATTAAGCATACTAAAACAACTGTAAGTCAGGGAAATATTATTAAGCATAAAAAATCATCATCAGTAAGTCAGACAAGTTTGACTACGAGTTTGTAGCCTATGTCAAGTAATACTATACATCAGATCTTGAACATGAAAAGATACACATAATCAATGGGGTATGAAATATAAAATGAAACTAATTAAACATGAGAATTCTACCTTCAAAGCAACATCAGATTGGACAATATCCTTCAACCCTGTCACTTTTGCTTCAGAGATTTGTTTCAGTAAATATTCATATGACTCCTCCAAACTAAGATTGTAGTCAGCATTTATAAATCCAGCGGTGCTATCACCTAAAGCTCTAAGTGCATTGGCATGTTGAGAGTCAAAGTAGTCACGAGGATCCTGTAAATAATAACTCAATAAGAAAATAGTAAAACAGATAATGGGTAATTAAATCATACCAACAAGTTTATACCTTAATAAACAGTGGTGCATATGGGAGCCTATGAGGACCTTGAAGATCCTCAATCTCAGTCATTCGACAAGCCTTCTCAAAACGTTCTTGGTTTTCATTTCTATTCAGTGCTTCAACAGAGGACTCTAGCATACAGAATTCATAGTACAAGGGAAAATTTCAGTTAAACTAAAGATATTATAAAACTGAAGAACAAAAGAAAAATAGACCTATAATTGCTAACCCTTCTTTGACCTTGCAAGAGCTTCAGCAACTGTCCTTGTATCCCCCAACTCAACGTCTACAACAAAATAATGAATAATCATCAAGTAAATATTTTATGAGATGTTGTCATTTGAATGATCATTAACCTTATAGCTCATAATCAAAATTACCACTTCAAAAAGACATTCAAAAAATATATTAATAATAAGCCTGTAATAGTAAGTGTAGATATTTTAAAGGAAAATCACTAGGAAAGAAAATTCATCATAAGCCACTTAATTAGCTGCTAATACTATTTTGGAGAATCAATTCTAGTTTTTCTATATCAATGCATGCCAATTTCAAATGCATAGTCAACAAATAAGACGTGTTAACTTTCCTTTTCAACAAGAATAGCAGCCAACTCATTCAAAATTTCTTCTTGCATTAAATACATAAAGCTATAGAAACATTTTGACTTATGAATAAGATTCCCATATATGATTTGAAGCCTTCATCACCCCATTGAGAGGAAAACAGCCGTTAAAAACCAGACTGCTTTCAGCATTTTCCCAGATGAGTTGAAAAAACTCTGCAATTGCTCCTTTCAAATACATGGGTGGTAGATAAGTTATAGCAACATTTAACAAATGATCAAAAATAACAGACGCAACCCACAAAAACATCAGAATATTTTCAACACACTGACCCTGTTTGCTGCTCATAATTAGGATATTTCCAATAACAGGGTGAAATAGCATTACACTATCTCATTTTAAAGAATATATCACAATAATGTAAATTTGAATTGAAGGTCCAACAACATAAAACAATGAAAATGTAGAAATAAGAATACAGAAGTTAATCTACCTAAAGCCCTTCCCTCAAGGACAACAGCTGCATGCCTATTAAGATCTTGTGAGAGAGTTCTTCTTGATAATTCATTCTCAGCATCAATGGTTTCCTTTATTCCATCACGCAAAATACCGTGATTCTGTGATAATTTAGAAAAAGAGAATCAATCCAAAAGATAAGGTTTTAAACCTAAAAAAAAGTATCACTAGGAAAAACTAAAATTAGGATTTAAGGACAAGATGTAGAACCATCAAGATCAAGTATTCTAGAAAATAAAGATAACATAGATACAGTCAAAATATGCTCACAAGTTTCACAGAACAATAGCAAAAGTTCAGAAAGATTGACAAGTATCCTTTTAAGTATTTACAAAGGAAAAATTATGAGTTGTTTTTATTCAGAAACTCGGTAACAACCAGGATTCTGATACGCCTGCGCCTACGCTTGCTCCTGGAAACGAGAGAGCCTTCAAACGACGAGCCGGTCCAAGGAGAACCGGTCTAAACTGGCCAGACTACACCAGCACAGCCGGCGGTCTGGCCAAGCCAGTCGGCCCAACCTAGAGAGGCGGGACGCCTAGGAAAGGCTGAGAATAATTTCAGCGCCCAGGTGGGGCCCACACAGCCGCTAATCACATACAAAAGGAGGGGAATCAAGAAGGGGGTTTGGGGGGAAAGTTTGAAAAGAGATCTCAGAGAGTATTTTTGGGGTTTATTTTATATTTTGATTTGTTATAGTTTTTTCTTTTCTCTTGGTGTTCTTAGCAGCCTCTAGGGTTTGTAGAGAGACGATCTTCCTCTCGAACAGTACATCAACATTATATCTTGTTTGTTTTCGTTGTTATTTGGAAGATTAGACCTCAATTGAGTTCTCCCACATCTCTATTGCAGTTTATCGGCTGTTTATTTGTTGTTTTTAATTCCGGGTCGTATCATTTTTTTTTAAATTTTACATCATAATCCAAACTTTTAGTCTTTTATCTTACTACACTTAGCTTAGAAAATAAATCAAAAAAAGGCTCTCCATAATTTAGATTTTATTGGTTTCCTGCAACCAAACTATTTTGATTGAGCATCTATTTATTTAAGGATGCTAGAAAGCAATACAGCACAGATTTAATAAAGTTTCAAATACACTGAAATACAAATAATACATAACACACTCGAGCATGTGCATAAAGCTATTACAACCATTGTTGTGATGAATAAATTTGTCTTAAAACATAGACATTAATACATTTATGCTAGCATGGAAAACTTGTTCCCCCGGCATAAGTTGTGAAAGCGTAGTTCATGTGCAAATAATAAGTGACCAGAAAGCAGGCTTTTAAAAAAAATTATTATGCATTACGAAATCAAGGCCTCACTTTTCATAGTTAAGCATATCTAGTTTCAGATATATTCATAAACGGTGTAATATGCTACACATTACAATCAACGACTAATTTTAGAACAACAAATACCCTTCAAACTACATTCATAAGTAAAACTGTACATAAAAAGCAATAAAAATAAAAGATATAAGACAAATTTATTAAGAATGCAGTTAAACTTTAATGAAATGAATGAAAAAAAAATGTAATAAAACATCAGTCACTTTCAACAACAAGAATATACATACAGGAAGATGTACGTAGTCATCTGCGTGATCAGCTTCCATGTCCAATGTTGGATCAACACGTCTAATCTGCAAGAAGTTCAACATATCTTAAGGTTCTCCTGTTAAAATAACAATAAAGAAGACAGCATAAAACATTATATAATATCTCAACCATAGAAGCCTAACTGCAGAGTAAGTTCAAGAGAAATATATTACCCTACATATACATGCCTTCTTATACATCATCTAAAAATAAAAGGCAAGGATATATATCCAAGTGAAATAGAATTAGCAAGTTGACACCACTATGAATAATAGAAAAATTTTAAAAAGATAAAAACCATTATAAAATTAGAATTATCAAAGAGAATGGATGACACAAGAAACCTTCTTTCGAATTTCATCAGCTAAGATATCATCATGCTTTAAAAATACAGCAAGCTCTTCATCTTCAGCTGCCTCTGCGGCTGCAGCCACTGAATTATTGGTCCTGTGAAGATATTCAGCTCTACAATACTTTGTCCAGAAATCCTTTTCAGACATCTAGCCATCAAATTTATAGTCCCGTGTGAAGGAAAGACAGAAAATGAGCACATAACTCCACAATAGCAACTAAAAGGGCAGCTTTACCTTACTGGGTACAAGATCAAGAAAAGCACGATGAACAGCAGGTTTTTCAGCAAAAATCTACAAAAATAATATGAAAAAAAGTTAAGCGTATTATTGACAAGAGTTACCCTTCTAGGAACCCAAAGGATCCTATCAAGATAAACAACCACTTTAAAAGGGGCTGGCACCTTGAATAAGATCACTTTGGCATAAGGGAAGGGTAACTAAAAACGAGACAGCTATAATTTGCTTTAAAATTCCCTAAAGTGTTAAAATTTCTATGCCAAGGCTTTACAATCCTAGAAGATAGAAAAGCAATAAATAAGAGAATCGCCTAAAATTATTTCCATCAAACTAAAAAGAAAAAAATAAGAAAAAAGAGGAAAAGTGGAAGTGGTGATCTAGAAAATTTGGCATAACTTTATTTAATTCAAGGCCTTCCAGATAAAAGATTCTAGCATAAATTCTGTGAAGCATAGATTTGGATTTTCAAGGCATGTATTCACTTAATATTCAAGACCTACATATGAGATCCTAGAATACCTTGTGTGATGTACAAAGTTAGATTTCTATGAGAGCACAAAGTGATGAACATTTGGAAAACTGTACGTGCAATGTAACTAAATTAACACCCCTATAGTTTGCTAATATGTCACTACATCATAATGTTAGACTCTTTTTCACCATAATACGGCAATGTAACCCAAGTATCAGGGATCATGCAGGGCAGCACAATTTATTGAGTAAATAAAACATGTTCAGCTTCCCTTGGAACAAACAGAGTTCAATGCGTGATGTTTTTTTTCCCCCAAGAAAAGTTAATTTTCTATATTTCTTTAAGTGCAGTCATTAATGACAATGAGAGGATGTAACAGGGAAACAATATTATCTGGCAGGGACCTGAAAGGCTTACATACCTGATGAATTATCTCCGGTGTCAAGCTAAACGTGACTTTATTTGTCTGTGGATGAAAAATTAACAATTAAAACACAAGAACAAGTGTCATGAAAATACTTCAAAAGAAAAAAAAAAGAATTTCTTAAAGAAACTTCAATTATAAAATAGTCCAATGCTCCATATATATATCCAAATAATGACAGCAGTAACGAAAATATCACCAAACTTGTTCTAATCCAGCAACAGAACGGAGCATTTAAGGAAAATCTCAAGTTATTAAAACTATACCCGACCATCAGTTGATGGCCTGATGTCAGCAAGCATGGAACTTTTGAACCCAGTCCTTTGTTTGGACACCTTAATTGCAGCATCATTAAGTAAACTCTGCAGGAAGTATACGATGACTTGTAAATATAAAATTAAATTCAGATATGCAAAAAAAAGAAAATCGTAAGAACTTAGAAGTGCATGTGATAGATATACAAACAACCTTCCTAGTAGCCCAAAACTCAGATTCTGTCAATATACCAGTCATAACAAATTGTTTGTGCAGCCTCTGTAATTCACTGTCAAGAAAGTTTTTCAGTTTCATGATTTTATAACATCCAGGCATACTTTAACCGTATTCAAAAGCAAAAGAAATACAATTTTAAAAAGACTCGAGAAACTAAAACTTGAATTAGCCATAATAGAACTTTTAGATAAGCCATGAACAAAGAGACAAGATGCAACAAAGTCGGGTATACAATGTCCACACATTGTAACATTCAACTATCTCTGATTACCAACAAAAAGAAGCACCAAGCTTAAGCTATTGCTCTTCTTTATCAACATGTTGGTTGTATGCAGGGACAGCACTAATTCTAAGAAGTCCTGTAGCGCTCAATTCAAAAGAATGGAGGTGGAGAATTCATAAAGCCTATGTCAAATAGTTTAAATAAAACTAACAACTGCAATGAATACACTGGTAAATGTTGATTTGGCAGCCATCTACAGTTGCCAGTGAATTACAGTTTTACTATACCTTGGTTTATGTAATCTTTGCATGTTTCTTACAAAATAAGCCTAAAGGAATCAACATATATTGGTAATATTTGGGCTCTTTAACAATAGGTTGAGGCTATTGATACAGGTGTAAATTCATACATAAAAAAAAATAGGAATGTGCAATTGCCACCCACTTGATTTTCAAAAGATGGCCTGACTTGACTGTGTAAATTACGAAAATCATTTTAAAAAACTTAAGTTTGAAATTATGCAAGCCACCTTGGCCTAGTGATAGAGAGCTTTGTCTTTCAACAAAGAGGTAATGGGCTTAAGGCCTTGCATATAGAGTGTGTAGGCATTTATGTGTGTGTGTGTCAGAAAATAAATAAATCTCTCTCTCTCTCTCTCTCTCACTATATATATTGTTTGATATTAATATGGAATAATACAGAAAGGTTGTATGAGAGGGCCTAAAAAAAAGCCCAACTCACACAATACAAAGTACACAAAACTCAAATAAAGCAAAGATACATAAAAGTAAAAAACCAAAAAACCACAAAAGGCGCAAAAGTGTTAGGTTCGTCCTACTTTAGTCCACCCTCTGCCTCTAGTTCTTAGAAGTGAGCCGGCTAACAAATTGAAATGTGAGTATCATTGCCCATAGTAACTAAAGTATTATCCATCATTTTTCTAAGCTCAAGTAGGTCTCGATTCTTATTCTTCCTCCTGGATGTTTAAACCTGTCATTCCTCATCCGATGATTGACTCATCAGTTCAGTAGATTCCAACGTTCGTCAGACGTGTAGCATGTTGCGCATCACGATCCCCATGAGCCTGAGTAACATTAACAGTTTGTTCAACCTGATGAGACGGTAGTGGAGCAGTAGAAGCATTGTCACCTGTATTATCGGTGATATCTAGGGCAGGTGGGGTATGAAGACTCACCCTCTCCCCCATGATGGGAGGTTTCAAAGACGGGAGAGCTACAACTGATGACTAAAATGTTGTCATATTGTCTGCAAGAATAGTGACGTCATCCGGGGTATTCTTTTGATGATCAATAGTGTCAATAACTTGGAGCTTATCTGGAGGAGATGAAATCGTTGCCTCTGACGGAGCACTATGTTTTTTTTTGTCTGAGTTGGGGGTGTAGATGGTGGCATTGAGAATTGGAGTGGTCAAACATACGACAATTTGAACAATATGAGGGAAATGCTCAATCACTACCTTTTGTCAATATTCATGATGTTGTGTGCCCAACCAAATTTTCTCAGAGACAAGTGAAGTGATGTCTCTTTCGACAAGTATTCTGGTTTCCGATGAACGGGAAAGATTAAAAGTAGGAATATCTGTTTTGAGTGGCTTACCATAAGCTGAGACAATAAATTACAACATTTTTTGAGTAAAATAATAAAATTTCAAACCAAGCAGGCGAATCCAAACCGGAATGTTTGGTGATTCTGTCTGTGGCTCAAAATTCACAGACCATTTTAGAATCTTCATTGCTCTGTTATCAATCCAGATTATCCTTCGAGCAAAAATATGTGTGTAATCTTCTTCATTATGTAGTTGTATAAAAATGTCTCTTCCATCTAAAAATTCAATTTTTCACTCCCCAACAAGGTGCATGAGCTCAAATTCCTTACGAATCAGCTCCATTTTGGGATGGTCATACAGAAATTTCCCGACCAAATTCATTCGACAGGAGGAAGCAAGTTGAATACCTTCAGCTTCTGTAAAAAAGATGGCCCGCAAGTTGAATACCTTCAGCTTCTGTAAAAAAGATGGCAGGCTTTCCATTCTTCCTATCAGGTTTCTTGATGTCCTCCATCCACTCAAATGAAGAAGAGAAAGAGCACGATTTAGGTGTATTTGAGGTGTGATCACTCGCAAGTGCAGCGGTATAAGATCTGTCGGAAGCCATGGAGGTGCAGCATAGTAGAGCTGAGAGCGGAAACCCGAAACAGGGAGCAGTCTCAGAGAAAACAGGAAAGAGCGGCGAAGCCCCTGCGATCAGCTCGAGCTCGAGGAAGACGCAGTCGTCGCAGCCCGATGCACGAGCAGAGACGCAGAGCAGAAACGAAGCCGACGTGAGAGCAGAGACGCACAAGCATAAACGAAACTGAAACAGGGAGCAGGAGCCGCGAAGCCCCTACGATCAGTTCGAGCCCGAGGACAACGCATCCGACGCACGAGCAGAGACGCACGAGTAGAAACGAAACTGACGTGCGACGAACAGAAACGAAGCCAACGTGCGACGTCGAGAGAGGTTAGATCGAAGAGAAGCAACTCAACCAGGGATCGCCATGGCGAAACCTAGTAGAGTGTGAGCGTGCACGCAACTTAACCTTCACCTAATCAAATAACTCATTTGAGATAGTAACCCGAAATTGTATTTCGGGTTACTATCTCAAATGAGTTATTTGATTAGGTGAAGGTTAACTGAATAAACCTAGTCGACTTATAATAAGAATGTTAAGATAAATATATGGCACTTTGAATAGGATGGATTGCAAATTATCATTTGAGAGGGAATAGAAAAATAGCACTTATTGGAGATTGAGTGTAAATACAAAAGTTTGAAAATGCCCCAATATGATGGGTAGATCAAAAAATGTGAGAGTGAGGGAAGGTTAAGATACAAACCAAAAACGATATAGATAGATATCGTGCAAAGAGATTTATACTAAATAGATTTAACAGCTCAAAAAAATGCATTGAAAGGAATGAATGGAGGATGAAAAGCCCAGCTCAGAATGTTGGGTTAAGATGAGAGATAATAATGTTCATGATAAAGTGCAATATTATAAATTCTAACTAGAAGCTTGAACAAATTAAATAGAGACATGTTAATGTAGTGAGAGTGTTTACTTCAAATCATAAGTTTTTTTTTTCTCAATCTAGTTGTTATTATTTTATATCTTTCTTTCATAGTTTGAATTTTGAAAACATATGTTATGTCAATAATTATATTATAAAATAATTTTATGTCAGTTAATTTTATTTAGCATTTTTTACAATTACCAAAGAGAGAAATGTTCGTTAAGTCAGAAATGTGCTTGCCATTATTTCACTATTATGAGAATAAAAGCAACGCCAAAACTATAGCTATTACAAATAGCAATCTATTGTTAATTAAAAAAACGATCAATTATTGAATTTAAACATGACACTTGTTATGACATTTTCCCTCAATTGATCCTCCTCATCTAGACAAGTTGTAAATCCTTTAAATTCACGTCGAGATCATACGAATTCTTCATGTTTTCATTCTCCTTTCCTCTTGGCTGCTCCCATGAGGATTTTTTTCTATCTATCTCTTTTATGCCATTCACTTCGATTGCCATAATCTTACTTTTCCTTTGAATTCTCCTTGACTTTATAAATCAAGTCAATCATCATTCAATAGCATCAAAGCCAAACTTGTAGCATCATCTCTACATTAAATCAAGCCACACTTTCATCATTACTTGCTTTCCTTCATGCTCTTCCTGAGTGATGAGAATCACCATGGTCGTAACCCCTTAATGTCTCACACGCATTTCCATCACTCTAACTAAAAAAAGAATAGCAAAATGCACGAAGCCCTCACTGAAATTGTGGGGGTGAATTTATGTGCATAGCTTTATCACTAAATAGATTTAAACACCTCAAAAAAATGCATTGAAAGGAATAAATGGAGGATGAAAATCCTAGCTCAAAAGGTTGGACTAAGATGAGAGATCATAATGTTCATGATAAAGTGCAATATTATGAATTCAAATAACAAAAGCTCGAACAAATTAAATAGAGACATGTTAATGTAATGACTGTGCTTACTTCAAATCATAAGTCTTTTTTTTCTCAACCTCTGTTATTATTTTATATCTTTCTTTCGTAGTTTGAATTTTGAAAACATATTTTATGTCAGTAATTATGTTATATAATAATTTTATGTCAATTGATTTTATTTAGCATTTTTTTCAATTACCAAAGAGAGAAAGATTTGTTAAGTTAGACATACTTGCCAATTTCACTATTACGAGAATAAAAGCAACGTCAAAACTATGGATACTATTACAAATAGCAATCTACGGGTTATAATTAAAAAAAAAAGATCGATTATTGAATTAAACATGGCATTTGTTATGACATTTTCCCTCGATCGATCCTCCTCATCTAAACAAGTTGTAAATCCTTTGAATTCACGTCGAGACCATACGACTCCTTCATGTTTTCATTCTCTTCGCCTCTTGGCTCCCACCCATGAGGATTTTTTTCATTCTATCTCCTTTATGTCATTCACTTTGATTACCATAATCTTACTTTTCCTTTTCAATTCTTCGTAACTTAATAAATCAAGCCAGTCATTATCCAAAAGCATCAAAGCCAAACTTGTAGCATCATCTCTACAAAATCAAGCCACACTTTCATCATTACTTTCTTTCCTTCATGCTCTTCCTGAGTGATGAGAATCACCATGGTCTTAACCCCCTTTTCTTGAGAAGAATTTATGTCTCACACGCATTTCCATCACTCTAACTAAAGCATAAATAACACAAAGCACGAAGCTCTCAACAACTTTGTGGGGGTGAATTTA